GAAGGAAGGAAGGAAGGAAGGAAGAAAAAGGAAGGAAGGAAGGAAGGAAGGAAAGAAAAGAAAAGAAAAGAAAAGAGAAAGAAGGAAGGAAAGGAAAGAAAAGAAAAAAGAAAAGAAAAGAAACAAGAAGGAAGGAAGGAAAAGAAAAGAAACAAGTGAGGACGGGTACTATGGCTCGTGCCTGTAATCCCAGCACTTAGGAAGGCTGAGGAGGGAGGAATGCCTGAGCCTACGAGTTCAAGATCAGCCTAGGCAACATGGGGTTAAAACCCCATCACCACAAAACATTTTTTAAAAATTAGCCAGGGTCATGCTACATGCCTGTAGTCCCAGCTACTCGGGATGCTGAGGTAAGAGATTGATTGAGCTCAGGAGGTCGAGGCTACAGTAAGCTGTGATTACGACACTGCACTCTAGCCTCCAGCCAGGGCAAAAGAGCAAGGCTGTCTCAAAAACAGAAAAGAAACAAGTAAGCCTAGGAGCTCTGTTATCATGTCAACTTGATTTTTGATTACTTTAAGACTCTAAAACCAGCCTTTTACCATGTTTTTTCCAGTTCTAACATCCCTGTGCATCACAGGATGGTAAAAAAGAACAGAAGTCAGAATTTTGGTAGCAGCCAAAATTCACAGACTCTCAGTGGAACACAGAGGAAACACTAAAATGAACAGGGGACAAGGATGTTAAAGCAACAACTTTAGCAACACAGTCCATTCCAGTATTGAGATCTAGGAATCAAAAACAGCTAACTTCTAATGTATTTTGCAGACACTAGAAGGGCAATATATGAAGTACCAAGGTCAGTCTCCATATAATAACCTGCTACTGGGAAACTTCATGAGAGGTATAAAGTCAGCCCCTGAAAAATTAAGCTTTTGGAGTTATAGTGTTACCTTCACTGCCACTGTGTGCTGCAGGTTGGAGTTTTAGAGTTTGGGATAAGACTTAAGCCTTTAGTCTCACCTCTACCTCCACCCTCCAATAACATTTACAGTATAATTCCAGAGGATCTTGTGATCAGCATTTTGTACTTCCAGTGCCTAAGATAATGAACTTACCTGCACTAAGTCATATCCATCCTTTGGCAGTGGTTTTGGTGAGCCAGAATATTCGCAATTGTACCTCTTGTCCCCATATGCCACTCCACACTCTCCATACCAAACACAGGACTGTGAAAACACCTACAGAAAGTCAACACAAACTTCAGTGTCACCAGGGTGTCAACGGTACATTTCAACAACAAAGTGTGCCCACTCAAGTACAATTAAAGAACCTTCCAATGTTACCTGCAAAATGAAATAACGGCAACAGGCACTTCACATTTTGAAAAATATTCATTAAAATAGACCAAATGCCTATTTGTTAAGTCAATGAAGTAAGTAATGGAAGTTGCTTATTTACATAATTTCTATTTCCTGCTTATTTGTTGGTAAGAAGAAGCTATAGTTCCATGCACAAAACACTCAGAATCACAGTATAAAGAAAAGTGAGACAGTGAATTGGCAATTACGAAGGCACTATTTTTGCACATCTGTACCAGGAACTATATAAGCTCTAAGTAATGAATATTTCCATATGTATTTAGGTTAATTAATATCAATACATCATGAGTAACATGAAGAACAAAACCGCACACATCAACACCCCAATGTATAGAGCAAGAATGAACCTCCTGTCCTTGAGATTGAAGTAGAAAGCAAAGAATGTGCCAACTTTAAGGAAAACAACCGAAGCAATCTCAAAAGAAAATTTTAAAACCTCTTATGTAAAGATTTCTCAAAAGCCACTCATATTTCCCATGTGAGAGTCACAAGGCTGACAGAAAATTCAGTGGAGGGGAGGGGTCAGGGTGAATCATCAAGTCAGTGCCTTGCTCTGAAGGCTGCTGCCCAAAACACACTTGATCCTTTGCCTCAGAATGAACTCAGAAAGCCACAGAGGGCCCAGCTCGCCAGGGCCCCGGGCTTGCAATCATCTGTTCTACAGGGAAACAGAAGATATCAAGAAGCAGCCATGGCTCCCAAGAACCCTGGCAGAAAAGCCATAAGAAGGCTGAGTGTGGTGGCTCACACCTGTAATCCCAGCACTTTGGGAGGCCGAGGCAGGCGGATCACGAGGTCAGAAGTTCGAGACCAGCCTGGCCAATATGGTGAAACCTTGTCCCTACTAAAAATACAACAATTAGCTAGGTGTGGTGGGGGCGCCTGTAATCCCAGCTACTTGGGAGGCTGAGGCAGGAGAACTCCTTGAACACGGGAGGCAGAGGTTGCAGTGAGCTAAGATTGTGCCACTGCACTCCAGCCTGGGTGACAGAGCAAGAGTCCATGGGGTGGGGGTGGGGGGGGGAAGAAAAGCCATTAAAAAAATCTGAACAGAAGTCACAACATGAAATTCTCTCCAGTGACAGTGGCACATGACCTGCACAGAGGCAAGAAGCTAAGTCAGTCTGTGTTGGTCCCTCAGTATCAAAATACAAATCCCACAACAGTCCCTAAAGCGCTAAAACATGAGAAACGTCAGCAGGAGATTGGGACTCGTACATGTGGGGAAATTCAAGGCATCAGTATCATTTTTTCTCTGAATTCATTTTTCAGATGTTCTAAAATAAAAATTATGACTTAACTCCTCCTGACTCTTTGAAAGTCATGTTTAGGCCACAAAGGAGGGAAATTATATAAATGAGGAAGTGACAAGCCTTCAACAAAGCACAAAGCCACATACCAAACCTGTGGCAAGACTCCACCACTCTTTTTATATAAAGAGAATCCAATTATTATTTTCATAAACCTGTTGATTCTAAGGAAGGAAGAAACCTATTGCAACTCTTGGTTTCCAACTAATGGAAAAAAGTCCTAATGAGTAAAAGTCATTACCCATCTAACTGAAGTTTGAAAAGGCAAAAGCTAACTACAGAGGTAGAGGAAACTGCTGATGTTTACATGAAATTTTAAATACAAAGAACCCCTCCCCAGACCTTGCAGAACTCTCCAGGGACCTGCCAAGCAGGTTTCTGCCTCAGGGCCCTCTGGCTGGTTACCCATAGGCACAGGGGTGATGGAGACAGACATGTGGTCAACATATTGCAGTTCTGGCCTGCCAAACAGGATGGGTGTCTGGAGTCTAAAATCCCCTTACTCAGCACTTGGTACTATAAATGGAAATAAAGATGACCCATTGCTGTTTAGGTTCCTTTTCACAAAGACTATTCTTTTTTATTTCAAAGCAAGTGTTATTTCCACCCACTCGGTGGAAGAGGGGTGGGTGAGAAGGCAGCATGGAGTGGGATCAGGAGTCCTGGGTTCTGATCCCAAGAGCTCATGAGGCTCTCAATAAATGTGCTTGTTGAGCCGGAGCACACCTGGGATCGCAGCTGGAGCAGGTTCCCTAACCATGTAGGAGTTTTCGTACCTGGGAAATGAGGCTCATAAGCTCTCTCTACCTCACAGGTTCCTGTGAAGATCAAATAAGGGCATATCTATACATGTATAGTAAGTACTCAGTAAACCACGGAGCATCATGAAATCAAATATAAGGAGTTCTTATTAATGTCTTCTACCTGTTTGGGATCTCAGCAAAGAGGTTCCAAAGACCTAAAATAATAACAACTGAGCCCAGGAAATCTGGGTTTGAATCAACACTCAGGTTTGCTTCTCAAAGTTGTCTTCTTCTAGAGACACAGCAGAGAAGCCTGGTGGGGGGCAGGGGGAGTCATTCTGGCCAGGCATGGTGGCTCACACCTATAATCAATCCTAGCACTTTGGGAGGCCAAGGCAGGTGGGTTGCTTGAGCCCAGGAGTTTGAGACCAGCCTGGGCAACACGGTGAAACCCTGTCTCATAAACAACAACAGCCAAAAATTAGCCAGGCCTAGTGGCACGTGCCCATAGTCCCAGCTACTCCAGAGGCAGAGTGGGAGGATCACTTGAACCCAGGAGGTCGAGGCTACAGTGAGCCAAGATCGCACCACCGCACTCCAACCTGGACAACAGAGCGAGACCCTGTCTCTAAAATAAGTCATCCTGCCTAAAGAAGCAATCTAAGCCAGCAGGGCCCAGAAGGACTCACAAAGTACTGGCAGTGTCCGAGGTTTAGGCATGGTTTTCAATGCTCCTCATATGTTAACTCAATTAATCCTACAACAGTTTGATGAGAGAGGTGTTATTATATCCCTTTTACAGATGCAGAAATGAAGGCACTGAGGCTAAATAACTTGTCCAAGGTCACAGTGGCAAAGCCAGGATTCAAAACAGAGCAGCCGACTCCAGAAACAGACTCTCAATAAAAGATAAACAGCTGCATAACGAAGGTCCTCCCTCTAGCATCACACCCTTCCTGAGCCCCGCCGTGTACAGGAGCATGAGCACCTGTGCACTCACTCAACAGCTGCACGATGGGAGAAGCTTGACCTTCGTCCCTTCTTCTCACCAACAGCTGAACGTGGACAGCCAGCTTCCTGGCCCCCAGGCCTGCCTCTGCAGCTGCTCCACCTCAGGGGCCTCCAGCTTTCCATCTCCCTCTTCTGTTTTTAACCTCATCTTCCTCTCTCTCTCTTCACCTGCACCTCCCTATAAACACAGCTCTGATTATACCTACAAACCCCTCTCTCAGCTTCAATGAGCTCCAGCTTCTCTCCAGCAGCACTTCCCACTAACTGCTGACAGCCTCAGTGCTTAAGAGGAAACCAATCTTTCCTCTATTTATATTTCCTCCTCTTTTGCCAATTCCTCTTCAACAGAGTTTCAAATGAAAACCTCAGGCACCTTTTGAACCCACCTCTCACAGCCAACCTATCGCTCACTCCCAGGGAGGCTCCCTCGTACAACCTTCCGTTCTCACCCAGATCTGCAGTGTCTCCTGTGCGCAGCTGCCTGCGCTTGCCTCTTCCAGAACACTGCTCAGTTTTCTGGTGCTCAGAAACCCACAACCCACCCTTCTCACTGCCTGTGCGACAAGCTCCAGACACCTCACTCTGACATTCTCTACAATATTCCAAACCTATCACTCTAACCGCCTACGCTTCCTTCCCTCTCTCCCACACAAAGTAGGACCTGCCTGCCTCTGCTTTGGTCATGCCCTAGGATCAAGCAAGATTTATGAGAATTGCAAAGTTGTGATGTTGGGAGAAGCTGCAAGAGTATTTTCTTGCGTTTGTCTCAACTCCCTTGTAAGACTGTAAAATCCTAGAGGGCAGAGCCTACGTGTAATCCTTTCTTTGAAATTCCCTACTGTATTGCATCTGGTGTTCATGGGTGCAGAACTCATCAAAACTCACAATGAGCTGAGGGAGTACAACTGGATTGTCTAAGTTCAGATATGAGAAGTGCTGCTTGTTTTGGCGTCTACCCATAATTTAGTCGTTATACAGCTAGAGAATTTCTATTTTTAAAGGTGAGGTCATATGGATATTTCACAACATGCTCTAGAGTTTAATTATTATGAATATGACTGGATATGGAAGCTTTTTTCAACAGTGATAGGAACAGTTCAGGAAAGGTTAAAAAATGCCCCTTCTGTTATATGTCAGCAACTATGGCAACTGCTGAATGGGACCCCAATACGGCACTCCATAAGCACACTATCATATGGAAACACTCTGAACTCTGCGAGAATTCTATTCCACTGCCTTTAGGAAATCCTGCTAAAGCATTAACTAACATATTCAAATACTTACTGAACACCTATTGTTCTCTACGTATGGGGGTAAAATAAATAAATGAAACAAAAATACTTACTGAACACCAAATGCATGCCTCATTTTCTCAGATACTCTACACAGTAGCATAGCAGAATTTTACAGGTAAGTGAACTCAGGCTCAAAGATATTCTCAGGTCACATGGCTCATAAGTGACATGATTTTGAACACCAAGTTAAGCCTTCTCCACCCATCCCCCTTGTCCTTCTGCCTCCCCACCCCCATCTTCTGCACCAAATAAACTCTAGTCCAGTTTGTGCAGGGATGTAGCCTCAGAATTTGAGAATGCATTGGAGATGAACTGTCCCATCCACGATGAACCTAAACAAGTATTCCTTCCATACAAACTTGTTCACTTGTAGAAATAATGCCTACCATTCCTCTCTTTTGCCGTATCTCTCTAGGCAGTTGTCAAGTAATGACTCACTTCCTTAGTACCACTGACAGTCCTCAGCCCCAAGGTAGGCCATCCACCAGAGCTGGGAGTGC